AAATGTAGTTTCTTTGTTATTGGCATTCTGTTTTCTCATGAATTATGCATACTATACTAAGGTACTGTGGGAAAAATGCTTACAATTGTTTATAAAATTCTTTTAGGACTGAATACACCACTCTTGCCTTCACCTGCATCTCTCACAGGAAGCGGGCGGTCGTTCAGTTTTCAACTCCATTCAGATTCTTAGAGTAAGTGTGCATTCACTATTTTACAGATGTTACTTTCATTTTATTTATTTGCTGTATGGTAAACTATGTTTGCTATGTGGTAATTGTGTTCTTTGTTTCGATAAATTAGTACTAGTATCAGTGAACATCATAATAATGTTAATAATGTAGTTTGTGTAAACAGCATGCTTGCTTTTTTATTTCAGATGTGAGAATAACAGTGTAAAAGAACCTGTTGCAAAGAGAGCCAAAGCAAAGCAGCCCACTTGGTCATGGAAATGGAGATTCCTGCCTGCACAAGAACCTGGACCACAGCTAAGACCATGTGAAGCACACACTCCCATGAGTTATTTTATGTGATAGTTATATGTATTCTAAATAAACTACAAACAAAAAATATATAAATTTCTTTTTTCCTCACATTCTTTCTTGTAGCAATTCCCTCTCAGTCACACACCTGACAGCTCATTATGCAGGCCTTTGTCTTCTCAGGTGTGAATCACAGCATTATGCATGATCATTCACGCCTCCTCGCATATACCTTTTCTACACAAAAAGTGTCTTAGAAAATTTAAATCAATATATTGTTTTCTGTGAATGAGTGAGTAAGATGATTTTCACATAATTTTGAAGCAAAAACTCTAGACTTCAAGATCCAGTTCTCAAAAGTCTTGTGATCAAATGTTCTGTATGTGTTTTATGGCCATATTTCAGTGACTTTAAAATTGTAGTTTTTCACTAAGCATGCATAAACGTTTTCTCAAAAACACAATCACGTACATACATGCTGCTCACACAGTATTGTAGCCCAGTTTATGCTGATTACGGTGTTATTTAACTTAGACATTCAAATGTTTGTAAGCAACTGAAAAATGCACAAATGTCAGGGCATGTCAAAACTTTTCCAGGCCCCAAAACACCCTCGGACCCCAGAGGGTTAACCCAAAACCTGCTTTAAAACTCCTCAGCCTCTATTTTCAAAGTACACAGCTGTAATTGCAGTGTGAATGTGTTTGAGGGTTACGTAAGTTTTCATCTGAAAATCTGTATGCATTTTGGCTGTTCATTTTACATGACAATGCCTTTTTGGCGACCTGAAAACTAAACTTTTGTAAACCGTTTTCAGAGTTTTTGAAAATATGACAAAAACAAAAATTTGTGAAAATGGTAACGTCACGCATATGCGTATTACATGTTCAGTGTATAGATTTGTGCAGTGTGTAGATGTTCTTAAACCATGGCCACGTTCACACAGTAGCAGAATACAGTTGTCAGTCCTGTGTTTGAGTCCTCGAGCTGCTCCCATCAGTTCTGTTTTACGTGCGACTCAAATGCTCCACTTCCCACCCAAATATAAAAGCTACTGCCGGTTAATGAAGATTAGACAGGTCAAAACATTAATAGACTCTACAGCAGGGTTCCTCAATAGGCGGCCTGCGGGCCATATCCGGCCCGTGAGAGAAAAAAGTTTGGCCCGCGCCAATTTCAAATAATGTGGCATGAAAATTCAAACACAGCATCAGAAAGCTACATTAACTTACATCGTGTCTACAACGGACGCGAGCGGCGCGGAGTGACGCAATAAAATACAATAGAACTCGTTATAATCAGTGATGCTGTCTTGGATGCGGCGCAACACGACAAATCCCCGACAGTAAACTGCTGACTCGTTCTATTTATAATGTACTGACACAACGTTCAAATGATTTGCAATGCTTTGTCGCATCTAGTGTAGATACGATGTGACGGCAAAAACATTGCGAGTATGTAGAAAAGAAAAGTCGACACGGAAAATAGATGATTGAAATGTGAATGGACTGAACAGTTTTGAGTGAGTGAGTGACTGATATCTTTATGGAATACACGTGTTGGTTTGCAGAGTTCACAGTTTTAACGTACAAGTTTGCTTTAATTTATTTTCAAGATCTGAGGTAAAATATCTATTGTTGCTTTCACTATGGCTATAAAGATAACGCAAAATAATATTCAAACTCGCATTAGATACTTTCAACATTTGTATAAAGCACATAATCATTACCTGAGATATGGTTACTGGTAAGAAATACAGGCTTGACTCCCATTGCACGTTCATACAGACAGTATTCGAGACGCTACTCTAAGATGCTGTTTGAACGGGACATTTTGAGACTTACACCTGTAATTAAATGTTGCTGTCAATCCCTAAAACTGACTGTGTGAATGTCGTCCATGTCTGAGCCTAAGCTTTTCGAAATCCAGTCAACGACTGATCCCCATTCTACTTTTTTGCTTTGATAATCCACTGCACTTGGATGTATGTCACAATACAGCAGAATATATTTTGCTACATCGGTTTCGTTGTGAATTTAAAAGACCGTTTCTGAATGTTCTTCCAGGTGGCTCCTACCTCCTCCAAACAGCATGGTGTGAATGTCGGTGTCAATGCATCAGCCACGCCCTTTCAGCAAGCTAGTGGTTATGGATCACATGGATACAGCACTGGTAATGCATTTTCTTACGTCCATGCAACATTTAAAATGCAGAAACTTTTCGGATGCTTTTTACAACTCAATCTGCCTAGAATTTGTCTACCCGTTTGCTGAAGTATTAGAAAAACACTCTAGTAACTTCTAGGTCTTGTAACCATCTTGTTCCTCTTGGCTGAGTTTTTAAGCCATGTATAACTAAACTAGCTCAGTCACCTCTAAACCCTGTGTTGGCCAAATCTCTTCTTTTTCTTGTCTGTGAAGTTGAAGCATGAGACAATCAATCATGGTATTACCCATAGTGCTGCATTTTGGAAGATGTTTGGTTTTCAAAACCAGATGACGTTCACAATCACAACTGTACTGCATGGAGTTTTGTTTTGTGTCGCTATGTTTTAAACATTGATTCTGCTTGTGGGGTAGTTTTAACAATTGAGGATTGTACTATTGACTTGGAGTGTCCTGGATATCAACCTGCAGCCTCAGGAATATGGCCAACTTTGCACATTTTATAAACGTATGATGGACATTTGGACAATCATCTACTGTTATATAGTGAATCCCATCTGTAACATTTAAACTATCTGAGGTTTGTGCACAGATAGGCTTAAGTAAGCACTTCAGAGTGCTGCCGATGGGTGGGTCTCTGTGGAACCAGTGATTTAAGGAGAATGAGGTGGGAGGGAGGTCGCTTGGTTAAGGATGGTGGGTTCACGTATGCTTTCCACACGCTGCTTGCTTTTAATTTTCCACCACTTTTGTTTTACCCTTCCATCCCTTTGCTCTTACGCTCTCATTCCATCTTCATGTAAATTCTTTGTTGTCCTTATTTTTCTTCATTTTCTTCTGCAAATTCTTCCATATTAACTTTTCATACCATCTTTTCCATAACTTCCATTCTTTCATTGATATTTTCCAGCTTCATCTTCTCCAGTCCTAATGTTGTTTTTGCAGTCTTTTTATTTCCATCGCTTTTGTTTATAAATGTCTTTCACCTTCTTGTCTTGTTCTCGTCAATTTTCTTAAATCACCAGTATTCTTTTCTGATAGGCCCCTCCCCCAGCTTGCAGTGTCTTTGCCCCCATCCCTATGCCCTGCCCCTTCACTCCTCCTCCTCCTCCCCGCCCCCCGGCCCTGCCTGGTGTGTGTCTAATGCTGTGGGGCTGTGGCTGTGTGTGTCTGACCGTTTGCAGGCTATGAGGATTTGGGCCAGGCTTCGGCAGGGAGTGGGGATTTCTGTAAGGGTGGCTACGGCACCGCAGTTGCCGCAGCCGCCGCTGCTGCCGCCGCCGCCGCTGCTTCTGCCCAAAACAAGCCCGTCAGCTCTGTCACCGGGCCCGGAGTGGGTGAGTGCAGCCTCACGCTAAAACCCCCATTTTCCTTTTTCCTCCTCCCTTTTCTTTCTTAAGCTCTCTCTCTCTCTCCCCTCATTTGCTCCTAACTTACTACTGGTCAAGCTTGATGAAGCCATCACATACCGCCTGGTCTCAGATGGAAGGAGATCAGGAAACGGTGTTTCACTAGGAAGGGTGGAGGACATGAAAGTCTCTCTTTCCTTGGGTAGAACATCAGGGTTGTTACTCCTGTGACTGAACACCAATATGGTGACAGTCTTTAAAACGTTCAAAAAGGGATTCTTAATGGATGCAATCCATTAATGCAGCCAACTGCCCAAAAAGTGCTTCGATTAGTGGAATAATTTTGAATGGCTTTTTTTTCCCCCTCCAGTATTTTAAGGTATTTGAGTTCTGGTCAGCAATTTTTTGTTTCCCTGAAATTAGACTAGTGTTTACTGTTAGTTCGAATGAGAGCAGTGGTGGTCTCTTAGTTTTTATCTTGTCTTCTCAAAGAAAATGCTTTATGCATCATATTTTGTTAAAGGGGTCATATGATGCGATTTCAATTTTTCCTTTCTCTTTGGAGTGTTACAAGCTCTTGGTGCATAAGCCCGGGGTCGTCACATGTGCTTGCTGCTCCTTCGTCGGGTCCGCCGGCTGCGCCGTTCTCGACCCCGCCAACTCTGCTCTCTCTCGCCCGGCCTCGGCTCACTCTAGCCTGGCCTCAGCTCACGCTAAGCCGGGGCTTCCGCGGGTTTTAATGTTTTTGTCTCGTCGCTTGTGGCGTAACATTTCCTTCTCACGCTTGAGGTATTCGGCCAATCACAACGCACTGGATAGCTGGCCAATCACAGCACACCTCGCTTTTTCAGACCGATGAGCTTTGTAAAAATCGACGCGTTTCAAAAAGGCGGGGCATAGAGGAGAAACAATAATGTACAGTATGTGGAAAATAATGTTTTTTTTTTTTTACTTTAAACCGCATAAACACATTTCATTACACCAAATACACAAAATAATGTTCTTTTTAGCAGCATCATATGACCCCTTTAATAGGTTTTTCATCTTGTGAACATTTCGGCAGCTTGATGATCTGGACTACATTTGTGTTTTGTGTTATACACTACTTATGGCATTCTGCGTTCAAATTGGGGGTTTTTTTGTGTATGTGCTCCTTTTTCTTATTTTAAATTGCATATATTGGTCAAAAATATGATTTGCTTAAACCAAGTTCCAAGTTAGATTCATTTGAAACCATTATTGTGACTAAAACAAAGTTTTAATATACACTTAATTCCTCTATAAAGCCCATATTTGGTATCTGCTTTTAAATAGTGTCTTGTGGTTATTGCAGAGAGCATTGCTTTCTAATGTATCAAAGTATTATTATCATCATCATTAATATATGCTCAAGGGAATTTACCCCATCCTCAATGACTCTTCAGTGATTTTCTTCAGTCATTTTGCTGTTTCTTCAGCCACTTAAGAGCACTTAACTCTTTTGGGGGTTAGTTCAGTTATTAGTTTTAAGTGTTGTTTTTATCATTATTGCTTGTGTACCATTTTGTGCCTCATGCAAATTGCACAAGTGTTGTCTGTGTGTGGATTTTCTTTTAATTTTTAGTTTTTGCCTCTGATTAGCCTTGAAATTACCCTACTCTTGTTCACCATTCTATGGCAAAATGTGGAGCCACAGATGAGCAATTTTTACATGCAACAATCTTCCCAGAAAGCCTATTAGAGGAACACATTTCTACGCTTCTGTCTTTAAATATGCATTCCTCATTTCATTTACTGGATTTATCAGTGTCATACTTCTAATCCTATGCGGGTCCGTCTGTCTCAAGCTAAGTGATGTTTTACTGCTTTCAGCAATCATCTTTTTTTCTTTTTGTTTTACTTTTCTGCTTTAGGTGTCTCTGTGACATCAAGCAACACTGGAGTCCCTGACATTTCAGGGTCTGTTTACACAAAGACGCAGGTGAGCATGCTCATCAAATTGATAAGTTTTTCTTTAATTAACTTGGTCACCAAAAGTGTCTCAATCTGATCACCACAGTCTTTTGAGAAGCAGGGTTTCCACACCGGAACCCCCAGTGCTTCCTTCAGTTTGCCCTCAGCACTTGGGAGTGGTGGCCCTATCAACCCTACGGCTGCGGCGGGTTACGCTCCAGCCCCTTACATGCACATCTTGACCCCCCATCAGCAGCCCCACTCTCAGATGCTCCACCACCACCTGCAGCAGGACGGACAGGTAAGCTTGCACCATCACATTTGGTTTTGTATTGGTGACCTGCATATAGACCCGTCAGGTTCAGGAAATAAAAAGCTTGTTCTTTCATTTTACAACTTCAACTTAAATAAATAAATATTATTAAAAATGTTGTAAAACAGAAGAAGCTTTTTATAATAATAATAATAATAATAATAATTGTAGTATTATTGTTGTTGGATGTTTTCCCCTTCCAAAGCTAATTTTGTTTAGCCAAAGCTTGATCAAAGCCAAATTAATGTTTATGAATTAGAAGACTTTTGTTTTTAAACGAATGTATTACTCTTCCAAATTAAAGCTTGATTTAGAATGCTTTAAGTTTTTATTTGATATTGTTTTATTCATTGTTTATTATTATCATTGCTAGAATTACTATTATTATTTTATATAATTATAAATTATTATAATTATATTTTCCCCCTTCCAAACCAACGCTTGTCATTTTGTTTCATATAGAATAGTTTAAAAAATGACTTAATTTTTAAGATTTTTTTTTCCCCCTTCCAGAACTCAATATAAAAGTACAATTTTTAATATGAAATACTTTATATACATTTCCATTCTCTCAGAGTGGCTCTGGGCAACGCAGTCAGAATGCCTCCATTCAACAGAAGTCACAGATCAACAAGTCAGGATACAACAGCTACAACTGGGGAGGCAATTAATACCCTGTCCTGCCCCATCTGGTGTTCCAAAGGCTGGATTAGTGGAATTAGTGGAACCTCCTCAGAAATCTCCCCCTTTTCTCTGTCCTCCACGGCACTCACTCGCCGCTCTTTGCACTCTTTGCACCCAGTACCAGCCCCATTCCACTGGTGGCACTGTCCTTAGAGAGATACAGCACTGTAAGGCGCCGCTTGAAGAAGGGGCACGGGGGGCGGAAGTCTTAATGGGGAGCGTGATCTCGTCAATATATGGATAGTTACTTAGGCCTTCATGATTGGAGTATTGAGTATTTGGAGTTTGTATTGTGTTCAAAATACATAAAAGCCCCAAACCCCCTTTTTTTCTGTAATATGTAACATAGATCTGTTTTCTAAAAGGACAAATGTTTAGTTTTTCTCCTCTTCTTTTTCTTTTTACTATTGGATAAAATGAATAAAATGAAAATGTTAGAGGGAGAGAGGGCATTTTTTCTTTTTTTTTCTTCCTCTTGTTTATTTCCCTCCTTTCCCTCCTTTGCTTGATCAGCACCTGCAATCCAAATGTACATGCACCTCCTCTGTTTCTCCCCCTGCAGTGAGTACCAAATTTTATTTTGGGAAAAGATATCACTCTAAATCGGCTAGAGCAGTTGTGAGGTTTATTTTTTACCAAATATAAACGTATATGAAAAAAAATAAATGTATAGCTGCGTTCACAGGCTTCGGATCTGTACCGTGTATGTGCATGTGTGTGCGTTTGGGTTTATTTTGTGTGTGTGTGTGTGCGCGTGTGTGTGCGCGTGTGCGTGTGTGTGTGTGTGTGTGAATGAATTGCATCGTCAGGGTGGCCAGTGTATGAATGCTGTACTTAAAGACTTATAGGCTTCAATGTGTATTCCTTTTAATTGCTTTATTGGAGCCTTATTGTACTCCTCCAGGTGTGAGAAGTGCACTGGTCACCTTAAACTTTAGACTTATTTTCTGCAATCCTTTTTTTGTTGTTGTTGTTGTCCTCATTAACCACCCTTGCTGTAGCAGGGAGACTGGATTACGTTAAGGCATGACTTTTGATCTGTTTTGCCATAAGCGGGAAGTTTTTCATTTGCGATTTGATTGAGGTTACCGTTTTCTTGGGCCACCCTGTGTGTTTTTCCACAGCCTTTGTCCTCCTGTCATACCTGCAGTCATTCTCCCCCTCAAACACGCCACCTTCTGTCCCCAAATATATTCTTTTAGTAATATGATTATTAGGAAAGTGCTGATGGACAGAATTGTATTTTTTTTTTTTTCTTTTTTGTCAGTGACTTTCTTTTTGTACTGTGCGTTTTAAAAAGATTTAAATGGATAAACTTGTCTTGTACATATAAAAACACAAGTACTGTAGTCTGTTTGTTTGATGGCTTTTTTTCCTCCTCTCTTGAGTCCTTACACACAGACTTGTTAGCATTTTTTTGTTTCATAATGTTTTTTATTTTGTAAAAAAATATATAAATATTAAGTAAATAAACAAGAAAAAGACATTTTCATAATTTTGATGTGAATGTCTTTTTTAAGAAAACTATGATTGTGTGCCTTTTAACTGAAGTGTGCTTCTTTGTCTTTTAGTTTTAGGCCTTTTAAATGTTGCTTTGCAAACAAACAAAAGGGGCCAAAATCTTTTGAACCCAACATGAGATGGCTAGTTGGCAAAGATCTTTAAAAAAAAAAAAAAAGTATTTTCAGCATGCATCTTGAAATGTCAATTTATTGTTGTACATAAAAAGGATGTCTTGCCAAAGTGATTGTTAAAAGTGTTGATTGGGTTATTTTTTCCCCTTCCAAAGCTAATTTTGTTTAGCCAAAGCTTGATCAAAGCCAAATTAATGTTTATGAATTAGAAGACTTTTGTTTTTAAACGAATGTATTACTCTTCCAAATTAAAGCTTGATTTAGAATGCTTTAAGTTTTTATTTGATATTGTTTTATTCATTGTTTATTATTATCATTGCTAGAATTACTATTATTATTTTATATAATTATAAATTATTATAATTATATTTTCCCCCTCCCAAACCAACGCTTGTCATTTTGTTTCATATAGAATAGTTTAAAAAATGACTTAATTTTTAAGATTTTTTTTTCCCCCTTCCAGAACTCAATATAAAAGTACAATTTTTAATATGAAATACTTTATATACATTTCCATTCTCTCAGAGTGGCTCTGGGCAACGCAGTCAGAATGCCTCCATTCAACAGAAGTCACAGATCAACAAGTCAGGATACAACAGCTACAACTGGGGAGGCAATTAATACCCTGTCCTGCCCCATCTGGTGTTCCAAAGGCTGGATTAGTGGAACCATACCTTTCTCCTCAGAAATCTCCCCCTTTTCTCTGTCCTCCACGGCACTCACTCGCCGCTCTTTGCACGGTCACCCTGCAGTACCAGCCCCATTCCACTGGTGGCACTGTCCTTAGAGAGATACAGCACTGTAAGGCGCCGCTTGAAGAAGGGGCACGGGGGGCGGAAGTCTTAATGGGGAGCGTGATCTCGTCAATATATGGATAGTTACTTAGGCCTTCATGATTGGAGTATTGAGTATTTGGAGTTTGTATTGTGTTCAAAATACATAAAAGCCCCAAACCCCCTTTTTTTCTGTAATATGTAACATAGATCTGTTTTCTAAAAGGACAAATGTTTAGTTTTTCTCCTCTTCTTTTTCTTTTTACTATTGGATAAAATGAAAAAGAGAGGTATGTTAGAGGGAGAGAGGGCATTTTTTCTTTTTTTTTCTTCCTCTTGTTTATTTCCCTCCTTTCTGCTTCTTGCTTGATCAGCACCTGCAATCCAAATGTACATGCACCTCCTCTGTTTCTCCCCCTGCAGTGAGTACCAAATTTTATTTTGGGAAAAGATATCACTCTAAATCGGCTAGAGCAGTTGTGAGGTTTATTTTTTACCAAATATAAACGTATATGAAAAAAAATAAATGTATAGCTGCGTTCACAGGCTTCGGATCTGTACCGTGTATGTGCATGTGTGTGCGTTTGGGTTTATTTTGTGTGTGTGTGTGTGCGCGTGTGTGTGCGCGTGTGCGTGTGTGTGTGTGTGTGTGAATGAATTGCATCGTCAGGGTGGCCAGTGTATGAATGCTGTACTTAAAGACTTATAGGCTTCAATGTGTATTCCTTTTAATTGCTTTATTGGAGCCTTATTGTACTCCTCCAGGTGTGAGAAGTGCACTGGTCACCTTAAACTTTAGACTTATTTTCTGCAATCCTTTTTTTGTTGTTGTTGTTGTCCTCATTAACCACCCTTGCTGTAGCAGGGAGACTGGATTACGTTAAGGCATGACTTTTGATCTGTTTTGCCATAAGCGGGAAGTTTTTCATTTGCGATTTGATTGAGGTTACCGTTTTCTTGGGCCACCCTGTGTGTTTTTCCACAGCCTTTGTCCTCCTGTCATACCTGCAGTCATTCTCCCCCTCAAACACGCCACCTTCTGTCCCCAAATATATTCTTTTAGTAATATGATTATTAGGAAAGTGCTGATGGACAGAATTGTATTTTTTTTTTTTTCTTTTTTGTCAGTGACTTTCTTTTTGTACTGTGCGTTTTAAAAAGATTTAAATGGATAAACTTGTCTTGTACATATAAAAACACAAGTACTGTAGTCTGTTTGTTTGATGGCTTTTTTTCCTCCTCTCTTGAGTCCTTACACACAGACTTGTTAGCATTTTTTTGTTTCATAATGTTTTTTATTTTGTAAAAAAATATATAAATATTAAGTAAATAAACAAGAAAAAGACATTTTCATCATTTTTGGATGTGAATGTCTTTTTTAAAGAAAAGTGTTTGTGTGCCTTTTAACTGCTTCTAAGTCTGCTTCTTTGTCTTCGAGTTTTAAAGTTTTAGGCCTTTTAAATGTTGCATTGCAAACCGTAAACAAAAGTATCCAAATTCTTTTAAACCCAACATGAGATGGCCAGTTGACAGATCATTTTAAAATGCCAAGTTTATGGGTTACTTGTCAATTCATTATTTAAAAAAAAAAAAGAGCCTTTTTCAACAAGCATCTTAAGGTGTCAAATTATTACACACAAAACTGATGTTTGCAGAAGTGAGCATTAAAAATGTCAATTGGGGATTCATATATATATTCATATGTGTGTGTATATATATATATTCATATGTGTGTGTATATATATATATATATATTCATGTGTGTATATATATATATATATTCATATGTGTGTGTATATATATATATATTCATATGTGTGTGTATATATATATATATTCATATGTGTGTGTATATATATATATATATATTCATATGTGTGTGTATATATATATATATATATATATTCATATGTGTGTGTATGTGTATATATGTTCATATGTGTAACCTGCCACTTCTGCACATTTAGACAAACATAACATACAGACAAAAGAAATGGAACACAATGTTTCACAGGATGCTTCTTAAAAACATTAATTTCTTAAAACTCAAAACAAAAAAACAAATCACTATAATTCTGTAAATGTATATTCTGTGAAAGCAACAAAAAATGGCTTCACATTGCCGCTGATACAAAACAATCTGCCTCACACACACAAACCCAGAACACAAGG